ATGACTTACCTGGTGTTTGAGGAGACCAGACACGGAGAAACTCTGTGAGTCTGCTACTATTACGTCTGTCGCTGTGTTTATGACTTACCTGGTGTTTGAGGAGACCAGACACGGAGAAACTCTGTGAGTCTGCTACTATTACGTCTGTCGCTGTGTTTATGACTTACCTGGTGATTTAGGAGACCAGACACGGAGAAACTCTGTGAGTCCGCTACTATTACGTCTGTTGCTGTGTTGATGNATAGCAATAGGTCACTTGAGCTAAAGCTCAGGTGACCTAAAAACCTAGTAACACAGATTGTATAACACTTTACAACAGAACAGCTCCAGGGATACCTGGTGTTTTAGGAGACTGGACATGGAGAAACTCTATTAGTCTGCTACTATTACGTCTGTCGCTGTGTTTATGACTTACCTGGTGTTTGAGGAGACCAGACACGGAGAAACTCTGTGAGTCTGCTACTATTTCATCTGTCGCTGTGTTGATGACTTACCTGGTGTTTGAGGAGACCAGACACAGAGAAACTCTGTGAGTCTGCTACTATCACGTCTGTTGCTGTGTTGCTGACTTACCTGGTGTTTGAGGAGACCAGACACGGAGAAACTCTGTGAGTCTGCTACTATTTCATCTGTCGCTGTGTTTGTATAGACACTGTGAGTCTGCTACTATTACGTCTGTCGCTGTGTTGATGCCTTACCTGGTGTTTGAGGAGACCAGACACGGAGAAACTCTCTGAGTCTGCTACTATTACGTCTGTCGCTGTGTTGATGCCTTACCTGGTGTTTGAGGAGACCAGACACAGAGAAACTCTGTGAGTCTGCTACTATAACGTCTGTTGCTGTGTTTATGACTTACCTGGTGATTTAGGGGACCAGACATGGAGAAACTCTGTGAGTCTGCTACTATTAGGTCTGTGGCTGTGTTGATGACTTACCTGGTGTTTTAGGAGACCAGACACGGAGAAACTCTGTGAGGCTGCTACTATTACGTCTGTCGCTGTGTTTATGACTTACCTGGTGTTTGAGGAGCCCGGACACGGAGAAACTCTGTGAGTCTGCTACTATTTCATCTGTCGCTGTGTTGATGACTTTCCTGGTGTTTGAGGAGACCAGACACGGAGAAACTCTCTGAGTCTGCTACTATTACGTCTGTCGCTGTGTTGATGCCTTACCTGGTGTTTGAGGAGACCAGACACAGAGAACCTCTGTGAGTCTGCTACTATCACGTCTGTTGCTGTGTTGCTGACTTACCTGGTGTTTGAGGAGACCAGACGCGGAGAAACTCTGTGAGTCTGCTACTATTACGTCTGTGGCTGTGTTTATGACTTACCTGGTGTTTGAGGAGACCAGACACAGAGAAACTCTGTGAGTCTGCTACTATAACGTCTGTGGCTGTGTTTATGACTTACCTGATGTTTGAGGAGACCAGACACGGAGAAACTCTCTGAGTCTGCTACTATTACGTCTGTAGCTGTGTTTATGACTTACCTGGTGTTTGAGGAGCCCAGACACGGAGAAACTCTGTGAGTCTGCTACTATCACGTCTGTTGCTGTGTTACTGACTTACCTGGTGTTTGAGGAGACCAGACACAGAGAACCTCTGTGAGTCTGCTACTATCACGTCTGTTGCTGTGTTGCTGACTTCCCTGGTGTTTGAGGAGACCAGACACGGAGAAACTCTCTGAGTCTGCTACTATTACGTCTGTAGCTGTGTTTATGACTTACCTGGTGATTTAGGGGACCAGACATGGAGAAACTCTGTGAGTCTGCTACTATTACGTCTGTCGCTGTGTTGATGCCTTACCTGGTGTTTGAGGAGACCAGACACAGAGAACCTCTGTGAGTCTGCTACTATCACGTCTGTTGCTGTGTTACTGACTTACCTGGTGTTTGAGGAGACCAGACACAGAGAAACTCTGTGAGTCTGCTACTATCACGTCTGTTGCTGTGTTGCTGACTTACCTGGTGTTTGAGGAGACCAGACGCGGAGAAACTCTGTGAGTCTGCTACTATTTCATCTGTCGCTGTGTTTGTATAGACAACGACTACAGCATTTGGTGCCATTTTTGATGTGACAGCGACATCAAAGTCTGCTGTGTAGAGACCGGGTGGGGTCTGGACTGGACTAAGGATTCCATTCAAAAGCAGTATACCTTTAGCATGAACCTGTAAAGATTCGGAGAAAAACATGGAAACTCCAACGACATTTTTATGATTAAGTCCATGTTTGTATCAACAAAAAGTAAAAGAAAAAGGACATCTTGTCCTACTACTGGACAAACCGTGTGCATGATAAAGTTTATGTAAATGTATGACTAGCCAATAAAAAAAACATGGCACAGATCGGATTTAAAATCATTTGACATTACACCCATTGTCATGATGATATGGTCTTGATTTTACAGACATCAGAGTTGATGTACAGCCATTTTGTATTAATGATAACTCATGAAATAAAGTTTAAGCCATTAGACTTTTGGTGATGACGCACATAACCATGATTGTTTGAAATTTGATCTCCCAAAGCTTTGACCTTGACCACTCAAATATGTGACCTTGACCACTCAAAGCTGTGCATGACCTTGATGTTTGATGCAAAAAGGTGAAATGAAATTTATACAAACAACCTTTGTCATTTTTCACTGTATGAAATTTCTTGGACATTTGACCACAGAGTGACTTATGTGGTCATAAAGCTACAGCCCTTCAAAGTCTGCCCCAGCCCATACCTCCCTTCCCACCCAGTGAGGACTTAAAAGTCTGCCCAGCCCATACCTCCCTCCCCACCCAGTGAGGACTTCAAAGTCTGCCCCAGCCCATACATCCATCCCCACCCATTGAGGACTTAAAAGTCTGCCCCAGCCCATACCTCCATCCCCACCCCCTGAGGACTTCAAAGTCTGCCCCAGCCCATACCTCCCTCCCGACCCAGTGAGGACTTAAAATTCTGCCCCAGCCCATACCTCCATCCCCACCCAGTGAGGACTTCAAAGTCCGCCCCAGCCCATACATCCATCCCCACCCAGTGAGGACTTAAAAGAAATCAATTATAAAGTCATTATGTACATGTCCTGGTACTATGTTGAGGTCCAACCTAATTGGAGATTAATTGGAAATCTTTAGAAAGATTTAATTGAAATATTTCTTGTAAATTTTATAAGTATCGGTTACTATGATTAGTATCAATTATATTTCAACTACTATCATCAATTGTATTTACAATCTTATGTCACAATCATGAAATAAGCCATTACAGGTGACGACAGACCCGGTCAATGATGTAAGGGAGACCACTCTTGTAGACTTGGTACATTTACTTTAAGACGCAGTCCCTGCAATGTGCTTACGATTCTAAAAGCTAAAATAAATGTATGTACACTGTACCAAATAAATTCTTCAAGGTCTCGCTGTGGCATAAAACAGGTAAATTTTAGGGATTGTCACAGCCAGTTGTAAAGTCTGTCCCAGGGTACAGTAACTGCAGACATACACTGAATACAAATTTCGCTTTTAACTGTGACCTCAACCTAATTGGCTTAATTAGGAAAACAAATTGATTTTGTTTATTTGTTGAACTTTTTAGTAGATATTTTATGAGTGTAATAGAAATATGGATATAACATTAAAAACCTGAAGAAGACATAAGCTGATATATCAGACTTTAGGACTGTCTTCACGTAGTCCAGATAACGTTCCAGTGAATTTTTAAGAAAGGAAATAGACAAAGAGGACATAGCTGACTAGCAGTCACCTGATGAGAAACACTCCTTGAAGCCAAAGTTATTTTTGTAAATACTGAAATGTTTTAATGAAGATCTACCACTGGATATTTAAACATGATGTTGGTGGAAACAAATTCCCTCCTCTGATCAGAAGATATATCTTAAACTTCCAAACCTTGTGGATCTGCATAAGACAAAGTTTTTTACACATTTGACCCCTTCATTAAAAGTGGGTCAAAGTTATGTATTTGAACAAATTTGATACTATACCCTTCAAGGCTAGCAAGTAAGTTCAAAAAGGATTTCAAAATGGCTGCCATGGCAGCCATATTGGATTTCAAGTACACGCCAAAATAACAAGAATGTGTCAAGACCATGCACTGATCATTCCCACTTGAATGAGTTTCATCTTAATCAATTCAGTTCAATTTGAGTGTAGGTAAAGCTTGTTTTCATGATAGCTTTATTTAATTTCTGTCTAAAAAATGACAAGAATTGGTCTGGACCGTACACCCATCATTGCCATTAAATTTCAGTAACCATATTGGATTTCAAACCAACTCCAAAATAAGTGGCCTGGACTTTGTAGTGATCATTCCCATTCAGTGTGGCCCTAATCAGTACCGTTCTAGATCTACTGTCTGGAGTTTGTTTATACCTCGTAGAACACTGGTTCAGCTACAGTCGTCGTGACTCTAAAGGTGACAGCTTGACCAGCAGGCACTGTCTGAAACAGAAGAAAAATGGTTAAACAAAAATAGAAGTTTATAATTGACATTAACCAAGAACCTTCAAGGTGATCCAATCCCTCTCCTAACAACATATTACTATGCTACTAACTCGAGTTTTCTTCCAGATGTGACCATGCATGCACATTGATAAACTCTATCTATATTCAAACAAGAGGCCCAAATGGTCTGTATCACTCACATGTTTTCATCTCAAACCTGTGATAATGGTTGAATTCCTTAAAATAAACCAAATATCATTACTACACATTACAAATCTTTGTTGGGAGATTTTAATTCTTACTCCATTATGGTATTTTATGAATATTCAGTGTTTTTTAACCATACGACCTTCAAAGTTGGTCTAGGTCATTCGATCACGCTTTACAACCCTCCATGGCTACAGGCCAAGTATCATTGCCTGTGGCCTACAGGTCATTGCAGACAATTCCTTCAATCATGTAACAAATTTAACAAGTCATCACAAGTGAAGCCAATCCCCCCACATTCACACATTGTGACATATGTATGAGGAAATAAATAGAAAATTCAATGATTTGCTTTAATGACTGCATTCTTCAATGGTAATAGATTTTTATTTGGTTGAGGAATGAATTGGATAAAGTGACCTTGACCTTTATCACAGAAACCTTAATCGCAAACTTGTTCAAGGTATTGTCATTTCAAACACTTGTATCTAGTTTCATGAAATTTTGTTGAGGAAAGAAGTTGGTAGAGCAATGGGATTTTTTTACTAATAATAGTAACAGTGACCTTGACCTTCAACATAGAAACCTGAAACGCTAACTTAATTGTTCATGGCATTGCCATATCAAACACTTGTAATGATCGACCCCCCTCTCTTTTAACTCTCCAGTAATGACTTCTCCCCTGACCCTCTAGTAATGATTTCTCCCTCAAAACCTCAGGTAATGATTTCTTAAACTTAACCCCAATAATAATTGCTCCCCTTAACCCTCAGTAACCTAATGATTTCTCCCCTTAACCCTCAATAAGGATTTCTCCCCTTAACCCTTAGTAAGGATTTCTCCCTTAACCCTCTGGTAATGATTTCTTCCACTATTCAACTAACCCTCCAGTAATGATTCCTTCCCTAACCCTCTGATTTCTGACCCTCTGCCCCACCAGTAATGACTTCTGCCCCACCCTAAAGATATGCCCCCCACACGCACACAAAGTTATAACTCTAATGCTCCAGTCACAATTTCCAAAACCTTAGATTATTGGCTTTCTCCCAACCCCAAAGAAATGGCTGTACTCTCTCTACCATAATGCAATGATTTCCCCCCTTAACCCCCTCTCCCCTAATGCCTTATCCCCTACCAAAAAAGTAATGACTTCTAAACCCAGTAAGAATGACCTCTCACCCCCACCCCAAGAAAGGACAGCCAAAAACAAATGATATGATCAGAAAGATGCTACAAGACTGGACAGTGCATGTGTACCTATTAGCCTAGTATTCTGGAGCAGTGCCTTTCCTGTCTCACTATGACAGGTTAAGCTAGGCGGTGTTGTGTACTGCTATCCCCCCTCTCTCCCCTCCCTTGCATTGATCAATCTAAAATTGACAGAATCCTGACAATGCATAATTGTAGAAACCAAAAGACAAGCTGTAGAAACTACTTGTTGTCTGGGAAATACTCTACGATACTGTCGAAATACCTGTTCAACGTCTCCATTAATACGTATACCAAGTCCTGCATGCTGTATAAATCATAAATTCAAACGTTTCTGGAGAAAAAGTAATACTGTATATGAAGTATTCGCTTGAACAAGTTAAAAAATAATTTTAAATAATTTAAACTAGAACACTGACAGGTCAGTAAGGGCCCCGTCTTGTGGCAATATATCCCCCATCATCATCAAGAAGCAATCTGCCCATATGACTGAGCTTGATGTTTGACATTTGGACTTCAAAAAGAATCGCAAGGAAGCAAAATATACATTTTACATGTACTATGATGTGAGTCTTGTTTCCTTCCGTCTCCATATTTGCTGGGCTAACAGAAATGTAATTACCGGTGCAATACTCGTTTGTTAGCTTTGATTTGTTTTATTTCACCTTATATACGTCCTCCATCAAGAGCCAGGGTCAAAGTCAGAGATCCACTTTGTCTTTGACCTTTGGACCCAAATGACCTTGACCATTAACCCAGTGACCCTGATCTTTGGTCAGTTGACATATTCTTTAATTCCGACCAACTTTGCTTCTTAATATCATAACAAAATGTTAATCAGTAAAAAATACCATATTTGACCTTGACCCTTTGAACCCCATAACCTGGACCTAAGGTCAGTTGACTCTGTGTTAAGTTCTGAACAACATTGCTTCATAATAACATAACAAAATGTTCATCAGGGAAAAGGTAAAAAAAATAACCTTCACCTTTGACCCAGTGACCTTGACCTTTGGTCAATTGACTCCTTGTTTAATTCTGAGCAATATTGCTTCAAAGTGTCATAGCGAAATGTTCACCAGTGAAAAGATACAAAATTTAACCTTGACCCCTGACCCAATGACCTTGACCTTTGGTCAGTTGACTCCTTGTTTAATTCTGATCAACTTTGCTTCATAATGTCATAACAAAATGTTCATCAGTGAAAAGATGTAAAATTGACCTTGACCTTTGAACCTAATGACCTTAACCTTTGACATTGACTTTTTACCTCAATGTGTATTTTTGTGAACTGAACATCTTGACCAAGTTTCATGTACATTGGTGAATAAATACTAAAGTTATCAGCCAGGAACAAAATTTGTGGACGGACAGACAGACAGAGTGATTACTATAGGGCACCCGTATCTCCGATACGGGGCCCTAACAAATAAATATATCTTTCCCATTTTAATGATTGATATACATATATTGTTGAGCTACATTTCAAATTAAAATTAATAAGCAAAATTGTTTTCATAACAAGAGGCCCAGGGGCCTTAATAGCTCACCTGGTATTTTATTTTTCAATTTAAAACCTGCTGAGTACCATTCAGGTTTATCAAAGGAGTACAAGTAACAAAGTTGCATCTTCCATTTATAAATATTCAATTCCCTTTGCCCAAAGATTCTCTAAAACAAGTTTGGTTAGGTTAAAATCCCTTCAACGGTACAGAAGGAGAAGGATCTTTAATGTTTTCCTCTATTTCCCCTAATGGGCCCCACTAATCTGCCCCAAAGAAGGGGAATCCACACACCTCAGTTTAAACAAAATTGATTCTTTTCTCCCTAAGCATGCTTCAGACTGCATTTGGTTTAAATCCCTTCACTTGTATAGTAGGAGAAAAAAAATCCTCTATTTCCCCTATTGGGCCCCGCTCCTATGCCGCCAGAAGGCCCACACCCTCCGTTTATACAAACTTGAGTCTCCTTTGTCCAAAGATGCTCTAGGACAAATTTGGTCAAAATCCTTCAATTGGTTGAGGAGAAGATTTTTAAAGATTTACCTATTTTCCCCTATTTGGCCCCGTCCCTCTGCCCCCAGGGGGACCATACCCTCCGTTCATACAAAACTGAGAACCCTTTGGCCAATGATGCTCCAGACCAAATTTGGTCAAAATCCCTTCATCGGTACAAAAGGAGAAGGATATTTGATGTTTTCCTCTATTTCCCCTAATGGGCCCCACCCATCTGCCCTTAGAAGGAGGCCCACACACCTCAGTTTATACAAAATTGATTCTTTTGTCCCTAATCATGCTTCAGACTGCATTTGGTTAAAATCCCTTCACTTGTATAGCAGGAGAAAAAAAATCCTCTATTTCCCCTATTGGGCCCCGCCCCTCCGCCCCCAGAGGGGCCACACCCTCCGTTTATACAAACTTGAGTCTTCTTTGTCCAAAGATGCTCTAGGACAAATTTGGTCAAAATCCTTCAATTGGTTGAGAAGAAGAACATTTTTAAAGATTTACCTTTTTTCCCCTTATTTAGCCCCGCCCCTCTGCCCCGAGGGGGGGCTATACCGTCCGTTTATACAAAACTGAGAACCCTTTGGCCAATGATGCTCCTGACCAAGCTTCAGACTGCATTTGGTTTAAATCCCTTCACTTGTATAGTAGGAGAGAAAAAATCCTCTACTTCCCCTATTTGGCCCCGCCCCTCTGCCCCCAAAGAGGCCACACCCTCCGTTTATACAAACTTGAGTCTCCTTTGTCCAAAGATGCTCTAGGACAAATTTGGTCAAAATTCTTCTATTGGTTGAGAAGAAGAAGATTTTTAAAGATTTACCTATTTTCCCCCTATTTGGCCCCGCCCCTCTGCCCCCAGGGGGGTTATACCCTCCGTTTATACAAAACTGAGAACCCTTTGGCCAATGATGCTCCTGACCAAATTTGGTCAAAATCCTCTGAGCCATTCAGGACAAGTAGCATTTTAAAGGAAAAAGTTGACGGACGCCGGACGCCGGACGCCGGACGCTGCACCATGGGATAAGCTCACATGGCCCTTCGGGCCAGGTGAGCTAATAAAAGGGATTCAAATACTATATTAAATTAATTAAGCAGATGAATTTTCTTTTGACATTTTCTGAAAGATAATTTAGAGTTCACACTCTATAAACATTCAATTTATATCTAATTTATTTTCAATTTCAGTAATTTCATTTTCTTCCCAAGAAGAACCCATATACTGAGAGAGGTGAACATCAAAATCTTTAATTCCCATTAAGTCATCACTCAAAACCTAACAGTGCCAACAACCATCATCATTTAGTGTCAACAACCTTCATCACTAAGTGTCAACAACCCTCAACTCTTAGTGTCAACAACCCTCAACTCTTAGTGTCAACAACCCTCAATTCTTAGTGTTAACAACCCTCATCACTTAGTGTCAACAACCCTCAACTCTTAGTGTCAACAACCGTCATCACTTAGTGTCAACAACCCTTGTCACTTAGTGTCAACAACCTTCATCACTCAGTGTCAACAACACTCATCACTTAGTGTCAACAACCCTCATCACTAAGTGTTAACAACCCTCGTCACTTA